CTCGGGTATCAAATAAACTCCAATTTGGTGCTTTCTGTGTCTTACTGTTACATGGCAAATTCAAAAATAATTTTAGTTTAATTTTATGATAATGAGAAAATTTACGAAACTGCAAAATAAATAAATAACTGAGCGAAGACAGAAACGACTACTTGGTTCCTTCTACTTTGAGCAAGAAAATAGAAGTTAATTTCCAAACAATACGGGAATATTTATAAATTGAGTATTGAAAACCTCGCCTCCCACATCAGTCTAAATATAAATACGTTAAAACAGAAAACCGGGGGAAGGAAGTCTATTGAACTTTTGCCATCAATTTCAAACGTCAACATATAAAAGGCCATAAATATGTAAATGTAGTAAAACGTTTGACTTTTGCAGGCAAAACCTTTAATGAGGCCATAAAAAGGTGAAAAGGAAAATGTCAACATTGGCAGAAATTCGCATCGCAGCAAATCTCGGCAACTTCTTAAGAAAACTTAGGCAACTTTGTCCCAAACTGGATGATTCGTACTCTAATTGCGATCTCTAGTTTTCCTTCTCTTCTAATATTCCTGAAGTCGGCCCGAATTTTCACGTGTTCTTTACGCACTAAATGCACGATTTTCTGCCCATAACAAACGAGTTTCTAATATGATCTGTGAATTTTGGCTCAATCCGTTTTATCGACAATTTTTATATTACACAGTTTTTCAAAAATGTGTAGCTCCCAAACTGAAAGTTGAATGAAAGCATCGTTTTTGTCCACCGCAAGAATACAAATGTTTTCACCTTTAGAGGTCAGTTTGGTCTCAATGTTTGGGAAGGTTTATGAAAAAGTTTCAAAATTTTCACAGGAGATTCTTGAAATACGAAACACAAAAAATTGAGGCCCAATCATTTTCAAAAAAATTGAAGCGCGTTTACGCTTGTCAACATGTAGAACGCAGCTATGAATAAGATGAGCAAGTTTGGTCTGGATCAGCTTATAATGGCCAAAAAAAACTTCCAAACTTCAAGTGCTGATTTTTGTACCTCAATCCCGATTTTAAGAATTCGTCTCTCAAACACTACGGAAGATGGAAACCTAATTAACTCCCCCTGCGTAAAAACAGTACCTGCAAATTAATCTTTGTAATGCGTTTAGCCTCAATAAGTTGGGTTTATAAAGTAAATTTAGAAAAAACTTTTAAAGCTGCAAGTGGAGAAAAATTATCTGAAAGTTTGTCATGAGTTGGATAATTGGGAGCTTTTTGAGAAGTTGAAAAAAATTTTAGGGACGATTCTTGTGCCGTAGGTTGGTGTTTTTTAAAAATGTCGCTTTCAAACTGGTATATCTGAAAGCACTATTTTCTTGCTCAACGTAAAAAAAATATTTAAAAACGTAATTTGTAGTACTTTTGCTTGAACTCATTCATAACAGAATTCGAAAATTCTCTCCAGCATCTGTTTGTAAATTTTTCCCAAAATATCAACTAAAGCTTATTGCTATTCGTTTTTTGTCGCTCACTTCTGTATGCTCCGATTGCTTCTGCCATTAATCCTATTTAATTTTTCCAAAATGAGAAAATTCCTCGCCCATATCTGTCTAATAATAATAAAATAAAAAAAAACTCGCAAAATTTTTGGTCTTCCATTGGCCAGTTCAGCTGTAACGTTTTACAGGCAAAGACCGATCGACAATAACAATAGATCAGTAAATTTCCTTTAGAAACTCATTAAGAATTAGATAAAAAGGAAAATGGCAACATTTGCGGAAAAATTCATGTCATCAACTCCTTGCATTTTTTGTATGAAAAATCCGGAAAATCTCCAAGAGTTCAAATTTTGAATTCTAATCGCGATCTCTAGTTTCTCCCATTTCTGTCATCACCACAGATGCAAACCTTCGTAAAAAAAAACATTTCCTAGCTTTTTGGTTTATTTTCTTCATAATCTTGATATCAGCTTTAATTTTTGTTTGTTACCAGCGCTTTTAATTTGCAGTTTTCATAAATTTTCTTATTTTAATAACGAATTTGAAATTTTACCACCCACTCCATTCGTGATAGTATTAATTAGAAGAGACACTCGTCTGTTCCCAAAAAATGTTTGCTCGAAATTCTCGTTTGCTTTACCAAACTTTCCTGCAGTTAGGCGCAAACGGGCGAATTAATGCAACATTTCAGGCAGTTTAATTGTAAATTTGGACAGTTTGGCTCAAAAATCTTTTGTGGTCTTGGTTGGTGGTTGAAACTGTTGATTAGTCCTGGGTAACTCAATGAATTTTTGGGAGTTGGCGCAGTGCCACGCAAATGGTTTGGTGCGCTAACCCAACGCACCGGCGCAGTAACCCAGTTCCGTTGCTAGGAAACTGTTGATGACTGCTTTTACTTGTTTTTATATTTTTTAAGGGCCATTTATAACTAATATTTTTAACATTTCTTCAAAACTTCAGAATTTTTAAGTTTTAGCAAAGTTACTCTATTCTCTAAATGCTCAATTTTCAAAAAATACGTACAAATACTGATAATCTTAAGCTATTTTTCGCGAAAAATTATGAAATAAATTTCGTCGCTTTGTAAAAAGTTTGGAAATTGCTTTCCAGCTTCGAATTTGGTACAAAAATCAAATAATTTTCTATCAAAAAACGAACTGACAAAGCGAAAGTTTATAATAAATTATTTTGGAAAACTCGTCACTTCCATTGCTCTGACTCTGAGTTTGTTAAAAAGCGTTTAAGTGGGTTTTCGCAAAAAATGACAAAATTGATTTTGCTAGAAAATTCGCCTTATTCATCGATTTGCAGAGAACTTTAGAAAACCGTTTTCAGCTTCGAATTTGGCACAAAAACCAAGTAATTTTATTCAGTTTTTTACCGAAAGCAATTAAGATTATCTTAAAAAAAAAAACGGCAAGGGAGCAAAAGTTTCCAAAAAATTATTTGGAAAATTCGCCACCCTCATCGCTCTGACGAGTTTTCAAATTTATTTGAAATTTTAGGCCATTCCAGTTTTGTCAAAGTTTCTATTAAGCAATTCTTGCTACGCAAAAAACGTATTATTTTTAGTTTTACTTAAAATACTGACAATCTGCAGGTATGTTCTGTGAAAATTATAAAATAAATTTTATCGGAATACTCGGCTCCTGAACAGCTTTGTAAAAATTTCCTGGAACCTTTTGCAGCTTCACTTTTTTTGTCAAAACCCGCGTAATTTTTTGCCAAAAATATTTCCCTGAACAGAACAAGTTAAAGTTTATACTCAATTATTCGGAAAACTCGTCACTTTTGTCGCTGTGAATAATTTGTTTTATTTAAATTCCGGTTTCTTCAATTTACGTCAATATTTCTAAAAAAACTCTCTCTAAACTGAACAACGCGTTTCGCCTAACGTTTTACTGTAAAATACTGGCAAACTGAGAGTCTTTTAGGCAAAAAAGTTAAAAGATGGATTTTACAAGAAAAGTAATCGTCTTTACAGTTTGGTCTTCTTCATCGTCTTTTGCGAATACCCGTTTTACTTTTGAATTTGGGACAAAATCGAAACCAAGCTATCTTGTTTTTTTTCGGCAAAAATTAGGTTTCCTCAAAAAACGACCAGAGAAAACATATAATCAACATTTGGAAAACTCGTCACCTTCATAGCTCTCAAATTTTTAAAGTTTCTTCAAAATTTCCGGAGTTTTCCTCGTTTTAGACCAAATAGTTTCAAGCAATCGTATACGCAAAAGCAATATGTTGATGGCTTTTTTGTTAGATGTTAAAATTCCGTCAACGGCAGTTATAACTCATTAACCAATAAGTGAAAACGCATTAATTCAGAGAGCGGCAACAACTCAAAAGCGCAAGTTATGCAACTTTCGCAAGTTATGCAACTCATGGCTCAGAAATTTGAAAACTCCTCGCCTACATCGGTCTGAAATAAATGTCGATTACTTACCACTTTACATAATGAGGAAATTAAGATAACAGTATTTCACAAAAAAAAGCAGCCTCGAAAAATTCCCGCAGCAACACGATAAAACGCAATTAGTTGCATTTAAGAGATTTATGAATAAAATTGGACGCAACTTAAACGAAACCCCGGAAATTCAGATTGTAATTGTTCCCCAGAGTGTTCCCCCTTTTGTCGCTAACACACAGGGAGAAAAACCGTGCATAAAAATTGTATATATTCCTGTGCTGTCAGGATTCGAATGCAAACACAGCTGTTTTGCGGCAACTTTAACACGGGGAAAGATCTTACGTCGTGTCTAATTTATGGCCCAACTGCAGCCCTGTTGTGTTGGGGCTGCTAAAATTATTGCTCTTTGCTTTCCTTAACGCGACCCGCTGTGTGGGACTTTGAATAATGAATTTTATTTTATCCCGCAAAAACACACATGCATCATTTTAATATGGTGAAAAACTCTCAGGAATATGTGATTTATTGGAAAAAACGCGAAATTATTTGCTGTGCTCGCAAACGGGCTTTGATTTTTTTCTGAAAAGTTTTTCCCAGAAACCCATCGATGATTGTATGATTCAGTAGTCTATAACGTCTTACAGCGGCTACACGATTATTCCCTTAAAAACTTTTATGATTTATAAATTCCCCGATTTTACCGAAGTTTGCTCGAAGTTTCCCATCTAAAATACATGTGAACCGAAATTTATCGGCTAGTAAATAAAGCGCTGAAACTGGAGCCTGTTTCCAAAAGAACCATAATTTTCAAACGCCCAGCTTGACCTTGCAAGTAATCTGAGATTGATAATTAGAGCTTTTGCCAGCATAAATTAGCTGAAAGCCCAACATGAAACTGCTAGGCAAATAATGCCGGCCCATTAACTTGTAGACACTGCGAACAACAACTTAATTTACGTTAATTAGGTTCTCGTATTCAGGCAAAAATTATTTCCTATGTATTATGTGCTCCAAGATTCGCTGTAATGGACGGTTGGGTTCGTGTAATGGGCAACAAGCTGTTGCAATATTGCTATAAAATTAATTTGAGAAGTTTTTCATAATTGGGCCTTTGAGCTTATTTGAATGGCAACTTACCCAACAGGAAATAAGCGGAAAATAGGCGAAATTTTGATGTCATTTTCGATTAATCCTCGTTGGCAGTCAGGCCACAATCATCGCAAATCTGGTCTTAAGGAGTCAATCTGCAAAAGAGTCAAAGATTTAAACTTGTATCAACCAACTTAATTGTAAAAAATCCACGTGCACATAACTTAGCTTGTCCACTTTGTCCAAATTTGCCAAATGTAACTAAAATGGCAGCAATACGGATTCGAGTAAAAATTGTCGATTTTTAAATTTCGACTCATAAAAAGTGGATTTGGCAGCGCAACGTGCAATAAAACTGATTTTTAATCGCACTCAGTCATACATGGGCTGTCCAGGCCCCGATTCGAAACCCATTAGAACGAAAGCGTAATTAATTTGGGCCGGGAAAGATCACACACACATCTGCCATGTTAAAACGGGGCATAAAATAGCAAATGTTCAAAACGTTAATATTTGCCGTCCGTTCTGTGCAAGCTCAAAAACAAATTTGCGCCGCACAAAAAATTGCTTTGGCATATTGTCGGTTTGATTTCAATTCTTGTATATAACACCAAATTTTAAAATTGCAGGTAGATAAAGGGTATGAGTTTTACAAGTAATCAACGCTCATGGATCTTGCTAAAGCTGATAATATACCTGCATTCAGACGAAAACGAACAGAGCATGTTTATCAAGGTTTATGGAAAGTTTAATGAGAGAATGAATCTCCGAAATTTGCCTCGTTACATCAAGCACCACTTAAAACAGAGCATGTCCAGTGCACCCTGTTTGATTGGCTGAGACTTTGTGAGAAAAGAAAAACTAATAAAACTCTCTAATGAAACTGAATAGTGCAGTGATTTGCAAAGAATGCTCTCAACTAGTTTAGACTGTTCAGTCCAAATTGTTGACGCAAAACCAATTTCCTTGGAACGATATTTTATCGACGGGATTTGTGGAACTAATTCTAAAGTAATCGACTTGGCAAAGTAACAAATCAGCTTTTCTTAAAACTTTTTGAATTTAAAACTTTTTCATTTGTAGTAAAATACGAACGCTTTTATTGAAGTTCGCTCAAGAATCAATTACCACTAACGCCCTTTGTCGAATATAGCTAGCTTTCGATTGGAAACTTTCCTTCTGGTGGGAGTGAAAAATTGATTTCGATGACTTCTAGATGAATTGGAAACTCTAGCCCCAGTTTCCTTATCGACTTTCAGCATGATGCGTGGGATACATTGAAGTCGCTTAGAAATTTCGCGGTCATTTTTGATAGAAAAAATATCCAGAGCAACTTGTTAGTGTTCGGGTGGTTTATTTACATGGAAACAGCCCTTATTGAACGTTCCAACCACAGTTACACTGTGACATGTATGGGCTTCCACTAGATTTATTAACTCGGATGCGATAAATTTATTTGCCTCTGGTTTACCAATAGAGTGTTTTGCTCAATGTTTTCAACTGGCTTGACGATCGCTATTCAGAATGCGGCTGTTGCGGTTTTAGGATGCATTGAGTCAACACAGTCCATAACTTCGCTTTCCTATTAAGCGAGTATCAGTTCGGTTAATTAATTCCAATCCAAAGCCAAATTTATAGTTTAGTGGAAAAAATGAGGCGATATGGATTTTTCTAAAGCTTTGAAAAGCCAGTAAAACCTTTGCAAAAATCAAATTTGCAAAGCTATCAAATCAAGAAAAAATTATCCTGCTTGGACAGACCGAAGGAATTTTCTAGTTCAAGTTAGCAGAATTATGCGGGTGATTTTAAACTACGTACGTGGACAGACTGCAAAAGGATATAGATGGCAATAAAATTAAATGGTTTTATCTAGCGCTAAGTATAAATCGGGCTTGTTATTAGAGCCAGACTCAACTGGCTATTCGTTTGAGGTAACGGTTTCGCTGTACTTTGCTGCGGATGTTTCATGAATAATAATTTTTTTCAATTTAAACCTGAAATTGCGTTACTAAAGATGGAAATGAAGCTGCAAAGTGGAACAATTTTTAATTTGAACCATATTTAAGAGAATGCTAAAGATGGTCTAGGTTTCGGATAAGTTTTCTGTCAAAGCTGATTTTTGGCAACTTTGTAAATTTTTCTCGCATAATGGGTGTTTATACGCAACTGCGCTGTGTGATTAATAATTCGTATCTTTCAAACGAACTCAAGGAAGAATTTGAAACTTTGTCCATCTTTAGTAGATACTTTGGGCTAGCAAGGCGGCTAGTTTGATAAAAATTGCTTAACACTACTATGTTTCTACGTTGCCGAAAATCTGTGTTAAAACCATATTTTACCGAATTGCGCCTTTAAATTAGACAATTGGTGTCATCCAACCCCACGCAAGTAACGGTCACTCATTTAACCCAAAGTTCCAGTTAAATTGAACCAAATTCCAATTTCTCCCAGTTTAGTAAAAGTCGGTCTCAAATAGGAAAGCCGAAAAATGTTTCCTTGGCTCAACTTCGCGATCTTCTGCTGTAAAAATTCGCATCTTAGTAAAACATAATTTTGCAATGTTCACCATCTTTAGCAGATAATTGCATCTACCGATAGCTAAAGTTGCACTAAAATCACCCAAAAGTCTGATTTTTGCCCGCTGAGAAAATATGGGTTTAAAAATTGGTAATCATGGATCTCATATTGGACGCTTTAACTCAATTACACTCGCTCCTCTAAAAATTCGCATCTTCCCAACGAGCCAAATCAGTGGTTTGAAAATTGCACTATCTTTAAGTGTCAATCAAATCATCCCGAATTTCCATTTTTTCCAACTTAGTAAACACGGGTCTCAAACCGAATGTTTTTGGCTCAACTACGCTTTCTCCCTTTGAAAATTCGGCTTTTCAGAAGTTCAGCGACAATCATTTTCAAATGTTCGCAGGCTTTACCAGATACTTGAATTTACCCATAGTGAAAATTTCACAAAAGTTGCCCGAAAGTCTGATTTTTCGTGAAAATGGGTCTAAAAATTGGTAAATATCGATCTCATGATGGACGCTTTAACTCAAGTACACACCTTCTGTAAAAATTCTGATCTTCCAAACCGATCAAAGTAGTCGTTTGAAATTTTCACCATCGTTACGCAACATTTGCAGCTCAGTTATGGCATAGTGTTTATAAACTTGTTTTCAACTTCGATTTTTTTCCGGCTTAGCAAACATCGGTCTCAAACGGGCTGTGTTTTACTCAACCGCGCCTTCTTCGCTAAAATTTAGCCTTGTCAAAACTTGTGGGAAAATTACCCTAAAATCTTATTTTTGCCAGCTTCGTAATTATGGGTCTAAAAATTGGTAAATAGCGGCTTCATGTTCGACGCTTTAACTCGAGTGCGTTCGCTTCTCTATAATTTTGCACTGCCCACATTTACACAAGCAAAGCTATAAAAATTCAGCAATCGTTAGCCAATGCCAAAATATAACGATGGTAAAAATGTAAGAAAAATCGCGTGCAATTTCGATGTTTGCAGGTTTAGCAAATATGTACCGTTAAATGGATATTTTCACTCAAGTGCGCTCTTTTTTTCAAAAAGTCGTGCATTCCAAACTAGAGCAAATACTAATTTGAAATTTGCTTTCTGAATTCTCTAAAGTTTTCCAACTCCAAAATGAATGTTTTTTGTCAACTGCGCTCTCAACTTTAAAAAATCGCATTTTTTAAACTACCGCAACTACCAATTTGAAAATTTGACGATTGTTCGCAAATACTTCGCTCCGAAGATGTGCAGATATGAATAATTTTTTTCATATTAAACCTGAAATTGCTTTACTAAAGATGGAAATGAAGCTGCAAAGTAAAACAATTTTTAATTTGAACCACATTTAAGAGAACGCTAAAAGTACGAGAGGTTTCAGATAACTTTTCCGAGAATCTTGATTTTTGCAGCTTGGTAAATTTTGCTCGCAGTATGGGTGTTTATAAGCAGCTGCGCTCTGTGATTAAAAAATTAGGATCTTTCCAACGAACTCAAGGAACAATTTGAAACTTTGTCCATCTTTAGCAGATCCTTTGGGCTAGGAATGCTGGAAGTTTGATACAATTTGCATAAAATCACGATTTTCGTGCGTTGCCGAAAATATGCCTTAATACCATATTTTAGCGAATTTCGCCCTTAAATTAGACAATTCGTGTAGTCCAACCAGACGCAAGTGACGGTCGCTCATTTAGCCGAAAGTTCGAGTTTACGAACCAAATTCCAATTTTTTCCCAGCTTAGTAAAATTCGGTCTCAAATAGGAAGTTTCTTAGGCTCAACTGCGCGATCTTCTTTAAAAGTTTGCAATTTTCAAAACTGACTAAAGCATAATTTTTAATTGTTCACCACCTTTAGTAGATAGACTAATAGCAAAATTTTCACAAAAATCACCCAAAAGTGTGATTTTTGTCCGCTTGGTAAATATGGGTTTCAAAATTGGTAAATATCGATTTCATATTGGACGGTTTAACTCAAATGCGCTTTTGTTTAAAGTTTCAATAAGATCGTCCAAAATTCCTATTTTTTCCAACTTACTAAACATGCGCCTCAAACCTGAAAATTCGGATTTTCAAAATTTCACCGAAAATAATTTTTAAATGTTCAGTCTTTAGCAGATACCTGAGTCTACCCGTTGAGCAAATTTAACAAAAATGTCCCAAAAGTCTGATTTTTGCCAGGTTGGTGAAAATCGGTCTAAAAATTGGTAAATGCCGATCTCATGATGGAAGCTTTAACTCAAGTAAGCACGCTTCTGTAAAAATTCGCATCTTCCAAACCGACCAAAGTAGTCGTTAGAAATTTTAACTATCGTTAAGCAACATTTGCAGCTCAGTTATGCCATAGTTTTGATAAAATTGTTCTGAACGGCGATTTTTTTCTGGATTAGCAAACATCGGTCTCAACCGGGCTGCGTTTTACTCAATTGCGCCTTCTGCTCTAAAATTTAGCCTTGTCAAAACCGAATTAAGAATATTCCTGAAATGATCAACATCCTTAAGAAATACTCGAGTCTACTTGTAGTGTAGTGTAGGAACATTACTTGAAAATCTGATTTTTTCCAGCTTGGTAAATATGGGTCTAAAAATTGGCAAATAGCGGCTTCATGTTGGACGCTTTGACTCGAGTGCGCTCGCTTCTT